CATTTATTAGTATCTATACTAGTTTCAAAAATAATTTTGAACTTTTAAAGGCAATTATAACATGATGTTGACCTGGGCCAATCCCGGGTCAATTAAATCATGACCCGACCCGACCCGTTCGGGTCAACCTGACTCGTTTCGGAGCTCTAGTCATTTATTTTAAAAATATAAGGAACAATTTTTTCACCTTGTTCCTTTTTTAAAATGCTTCTGATAGTACTATAATTCTTGGGTTCCATAGTAGATCTAATATAAACGATTTTCATATTAATTACTTTTATATATATAGGAATAATTCTATATCACTTGATATTAAGGAAAAAACAAAGATAACAAACAAATGGGAGATTTTAATGATCACATTACAAATTTTGATCCCTGAAATTTTTGGTAATACAAATGTTCACTTTGCCTGGTTTTGTTGCATATGGCAGTTCTCTATACTTCATCATGGTTACTATTTAGGTCAACGTTTGAATGAAAATTTTTATATATTTCTGAATGCAACTCTAAATTAAACCTTTGCTATAATATATTAACTTGCAGAAAAATACTAAATCAAACAAATATTTGATGATGATGATGATGATACATATTGTTTGTAATATTTTGAATCCATAATAACTATATCTCTATGATGTAAGGTTAACTAACATCTTTGTCTCGTAAGCCAACTCATTATGGCTCGTGAGGAGCACTGATTTATCCATTGAAAGAAAAAAAATCCATTGTTCATAACATTTAGGAACATGAATACTTGTTTTCTTTTGAACTCACTCACTTGAAAAAAAAAATTAAAAGCTTTGCATCTAATTTGAAATTTAAAATTTAAAAGGCTTTATTGTTATTATTCTTCTTTTTAAACCAATCTTCATTTAATAATTATATTAATACCAAAAATTTTTTTTTATATTTTTTTTTTATTGTATAAATGTTTTGAAGTTTCAGAGCTCTTTTTATACATATTGTGATTTTATCGACAAAGACTAATGCTATCCAAGGAAAAATCATTGTTTATCGACAAAATCGGTTGTGATGGACTTTATCGTTGGCGAAACGGTGAATTAATTATAAAACATGATAAAATTTGTTATAGATCTTTAAACAGCACATATGAACTTGTGGTTTGGATGAACCTGACAAAAGGTAATTTATTCAAAATTATGATAATATTTTAGAAATGGGGTAAACATGAAAAGGATGGGGCTGGCTTGAACCCATCTCCCGTCCTTTTCATATGTCCCTCCATGGATCATCATCCACAGGACTGGAATTGACATTTCTGCTAAAGAACAGTAGACAAAAAATCCCAATAAAAAAATGAATGAAGGTATTTTTTTTCTTACGAAGAAAATAACTATTTTAAAAATATGTAATAATAATAAAAAAGATTTTGCATTATAATTTAATATATTGCTTTATGATAAAATAATGTTAGCTAAGTTCTATAAAGGTAAATAAATATTATACAAATAAACTTTATTAAGATCTAATTTTTGAGTAAGTATTATATTATAAATTAACCTTTACAACACAAATAAACTTTATTAAAACATCATCTAATTAAATTTATTTCATAGATGATAAGTATTATGGAGTACTGCCATATGTTGCATCAGAGGTATTAAATAAGAAACCTTATACGCAAAAATCTGACATTTGTAGCTTTGGGATTTTAATGTCAGAATTTTCAACACGTCAACAACCATTCAAAGATCAACAACATGATTTAATCTTGCTTGCAGGATTTATAGTAGCTTAAGTCCTAGTTTTTCAGATAGTACTCTGAAATGTTATATTGAGTTGGCATACAAATGCACAGATGCTAATCCTGAAAAAAGACCAACAGCAAATGAAATTTTAAAAATCATCACTTTTTGGAAAGATGCAATAAATGTTGACAATGGTGATGGTGAAGGTGATAATGATGAGGATGAAGAACTACTCAATGAATTAAAAAAAAAACGAGAAAATATTTGAGGAAGCTGATCAAGATCCTTTTAATCCTTCAACAATTCCAGAAACTATTCATCCAAATACTATTTACATGATATTTAATAATAATAATTTTTGTAACTTTTTGTAATTGTGATTTAGATCAGATATCAATAATATTTTACACTTCTCGGATTTAATTTGCCTTCATCTTTTCAATCTGATTTTTCTTCACTATCATCATATTATTTTTTGGGCCTTTCTATATAAAATATTTGGTGAAGTAATTACCTCTTCAGTTATATTTCAATTGGAAATTAAATGTTTGTGAACTCTATGAATATTATGAATTTAGCTTTATTAATATAATGAATTAATGATTTAAGGTGCTATTTACAGAAGAATTTGTTTTTAGAAGTTGCATGTATGGTTATACACTTTAGCTGATCTATCGTGTGCAAAAATTGTACTCCTTACACCTTGAGTGATTTTTTGAATGATCCTATGAATGCTGCTAATTGATGTTTTTCAGTAGCTCCAGTTGCAAGTCGATATCTTATAATTATAATATATATTAATAATAATATAGTTTATAATAAAACCAGATAATATAAAATTAGAGTTTTCTTACTCAATTTCTCCAATATTTTCAAACAAGTCTTCATCAGTGATTAATGATTTTCTTAAGTGATAACAAAAATCTGTCAATATATCTTGTAAAGCAAGACCTTTTTCTGTCTTGAGCTTCTGGATATCTATATATATATATATGGAATAATACATATATCTTTATATTTAACTTGCCAAGTTATTTATACAACTAATTAAATTTTACATAATGTCAAAAATTAAAACTAACTGGAATGTGCTGTTGAATAATCATCATAAGTCATTGTCTTTACTATTAATTCTATATCTTTAGTATTAGGTCTTCCCGTACAATTACATATAGCATCTTCATCTATGAATTCATTTGTTGCATGACATGTCTAAATTGTAAAATGGTATATTTTTTTCTTTTAATTAAATAAAATTTTACAAAACATTATGTAATAAATGCACAAATCACCTGTAAAATATTTAATACTCTTCGCATATCACCACATGAAATTTTAATTAATGCTTCCATCCCATCTTGAGAAATATTTATGCTATAATAATATAAACTTTAAAATTTTTCCCACCAGAAAATTTGTAATAAATAGTCTTTTTTTTTTAAATCAATTTTTTGTTACCGTTCTGCCTCAATTATATCATTCAAGTAAGAAATAATTTGGTCTTTGCCTAAAGGAGAAAATCGAAATTTTGTACAACGAGATTGAACTGCAGGAATGATCTTGAGCGGATAGTTGCAAACGATACAGAAACGGACATTTTGTGTATACTTTTCAATAACTATTTAATAAGTTTAATAAATGAATTGATTAGTTTGCAGTATGTATAAAGATATAAAATATCAATAAGTTATTAACTTCTTCTCAATGCATTTTGAGCAGTTTGTGTCATTGCATCAGCTTCATCCAGTATAATCAACTTTACATCTGAACTTAAATATTATTAAGATCGCTATTAATAAATTGCTCACATATATAAAAAATACAATGATACCAATCAAATTATATTGATACCTAAATATATTACATGTCGATCGCGTGAAATGTCGTCTGGCTGATTAGTCCTGAAGTCAATTTGGGCGGCAAAAAATTCGGAAAAAACACTTGTAGATCGTTTTGCGTGACAAATCGCTCGATTGTTAACATTTCAGACCCATTTTATATAAACAGAGAACCTAAAAAATTGTGTCTTCATATATTATCTAATCATTATTAATATTCATATAATAAAAGTTAGA